TTACATTTGGAAGACTGTCTACTATCAAGGAAGAAGAGTCCTCAGTAACACGCGCATGCAGAATAAGGCGCTCTCATTTCTGAGCACAGGAAGCCAAAACAAAAAAAACCCACTGTGATCTGATTTCACATTTTTCACCCCTAATATAAAATACGTTCTCTTGAGGGTGCTAGCTTGTTTAAATAAGGGATGCGAAATCAACATAATTACGTGGATATTATTTGTAACATTGACTCCACATTCACAGTTCAAATGGTGCAGGGGATTATAGATATATGGCCTATAAAGAGTTATAAATCTCTGTTTATTCTATTACATATTACGAGACATGCCCTGAGGATGACAGATCAATAATGGTTCTGCGGTTTCCTTGATGGAAGGCTGCAATTATTTTCTTCCATTACAACTTAAATGTAACTCAATTTTACTCATCTATCATCTTTACAAGAGTAATAAAGGAACATCACTGTATGTTTTTTTTTCTACCTATTCATATTATTTCTTGTTTGCATCTCGTTTTGATTTCTGTTCTCATCAAAATTTGTTCCAATCGTTTGGGTTTCTTCCTTTGGAAGTTTGAACAGTGACCCTTTAACTTTGGCACTATGAAACGGAGATGGAAAATTACTACCTTAAGCTTCCTCTATTTTGGGAAGCAGTTGGCTACTCTGAGTTTAAGTGATATTTAAAAACAAGGAAGCTTGACACAAACAACCTAGGAGGCTGAGTTTTTCTAAAGCTGCATTACAGGGCCAGTGAGATAGCTCAGCAGATTGAGTGCCTGCTTTGGCAAGCGCAGGGACCAGGGTTCGATCCCCAGTCCCGCATACCGCGCCATCCTGCCCCCAGGGTATGCTGAGCCAGTGACCAAGTTGGGGCATGGTAGCACACGCCTGCAATCCCAGCACTAGGGAGGCTGCAAACAGGAGAATCACTATGAGCCCAAGCCACATAGTTAGACCCTGTACCAAATACATAAATGGAAAAAAAGAAAAATCAAATAAAGCTGCATTACCTGCAAATGCTTCATAGAAAGTATGACTTACAGTACATAAACATAATGTAGTTGGAATTCTAACCCAGGGAAAAAGCCAAATTCAACACCTTCTATCATACTACAGCACAATTCTGATTCAACTGTCTTGCTTTCTACTTCTGCCCCCTTAAACCACAACCAATCCTTAACCGATCATTTAAGAAAAATATTACATGAAAGCCATTAACACATTAATACTCATAATAGGAAGGGGCAAAACCAAAAGACCCTCAGACGCAGCAAAACCGGAATCCGCCCCTTCTTGAGAATCCAACCATCTGAATTCACCATCCTCTAAACAAGAACTCTTCATAATAGCAGCTAATGTTTGTATGCCAAGGAATGAGGGATTTATACAGCGCAGCTCTCTAAGAAGGCATCGGAGTTCTGCGAGTGCCAGTGATGTTCTCGGGGTGCAGATTTACACAACACAACACAGGTCCCGACTTCAGCCTCCTTTCCTCAAGGCATGCTGACTCCCGCAGAGCTCAACTTATGAGCATCTGTTCATGCTGAGTACTTATATATACATTATCTCAAACTCTCACAAAACTCTCTGAAGTAATGACTGCTACCTGCACGTTACAAATGAGCTCTTGCCTCTCACGGGCTGCAGGATTCCACTGGGTTGTGCAGACCCAGAACTGGCCCCCATGCACACTGGCACCAAACGACATGCTTTGCCTCTTCACCTGATCCACCACTAGGACGAATGGAGCGCTGGTGCAAGTGTTTGCTGCCAGTTCGCTCTCGTCTTCCAAACGCAGCACCTCAGTAAAGGGACTACAAGGAAAGCACTATGGCATATTCACTGTATTTTGTTTCAAAAATCCTTGTTTATCTTAACTTTACAAGCTTTCCAAAATGCACCACTGCTCTTAGAAAATAATATAACTCAGGGAACAGAATTTGTGCTGATCTGGGAAGTTTAGAAAATTCTACTCGGTACTGATTTGCACTTTGTAGAGGATTGAGCCCATGTGCTCTGGTTCTATTTTCTCTTCCTAGATGTCACATTAAAAGATAGCTCAGCAGTCTAAAGCACCTGCTTAGGCAAGCTTAGGAAGATGGAGGGGATTTTGGTTCAATGCCTGGCACCACAAGCTGCACCAGCCCACCCTCAGGGCAGGCTGAGCCAGGACACCCCATCCAAAAAAATCCCTTATATCGGATTATTGGATATTTCAGTTAATTTTAAGCAAATTTTTGTACTGTTTATCCCCAAAAAGAATGTAAGGGTTTTTTGTTCCCTGCAAATTTTGTTTTCTACAAGATCCGTAAATTATGGAGCTATTTTCTCAATTATTCTGCTTGAACAATAATGTACTGTGCATGAATATATATTAGCACTTCAATCAATGTTAATTTAGAATGTTCACTGATGGATGGGTAAAAAAGTTAATAAACGTATTAAAGACAGTAATTGGTGTGAGTGTTTAATCTAATAGTTTTTAGTGTTGGAAGTCACTGTAAATAAACCTTTTAAGAATCACTTTCAAAACTAACATTCTTGATTTTATTTGGTGAAGATCAAGAATGGGTTCTCGTAGACTAATATAATCAACAGCACTGGCATTCCGAGAATAGGTACTAGGGTTTGGAATAAGCTTCCAGAAATACCACTGTGTGAGGAGAGGAAGTTGTGAAGCCCAGATAACTTGTGCGTGAAAGCGATGTGTTCTGGGAACTATCACATGACTCAAAAGAGTGGTTTCATGACGTCATCAATATGAGACGATGCCTGTAAAGAGTTCACGTGGACATACTGATGCAATGTGAGAGCAGAAAGCCCAGAATCCTATGTGGCCGTTAATAAACAAGGACCACCTGCTGGCCCCCTGGACTATAAAAGGCCCTCTTTGCTGGCACTTCTTACTGCCTGATCCCAGAATAGAAACCCATTTGCACATGGCAGGGAGCTCAACAAGCGCCAATTCTTGTGAATATTCTCGCACACAGAGCACAGGGCAGAAGCTTGGGCAAATGTGCTGCACAGCACTCTCAAGCTTGTCCACGGAGCACACAAGAGTTCTCCCAACACACACTAGAGATGCTACTAACAAAACTACGATCTGTGTCTAGTCACCAAACTTGGTGTCAAATAAAAACTCAGTTCCAAAAACTTATTTGCAAGGTCATCTGATATCTCACCAAGTTAATCTTCCAAGACAAAATGTAATCAGCTTATTGCTTGGAGACTTTCTAAACTGGTTCAATCTTATAAATCATTTCGTTTCTGTGTGATGAATGGCTCTTGTTGCCTTCATTTTAACACAGAGCCAGGAAATGATTGTATGCTGGTTACTGGACCACTGAGGTCTCTCTGTGGACTGGGTATGCATTAAAAAACAAACAAACAAAAAGTGTGTAGTCCTGGCTCAGAAAAATGTTGATCTTTACCAAAGAAGATAAACAGGCAAATAAATAAAGGAGGTCTGAAGGTAGTTGTCTCCGTGGAACTTGGCCAGTGCAAGGCTGGCCCCCCTTGCAAGAAGGCTCTGCTGGCAAGCCCCACCTTGCTTCCCACAAGAATTTCTGCGGTGGAAGCGATAACGGTTTCAGGTGTGGCCAGTGCATTTTGGGCATTTTTCCTGGGTGATAAAACCGGCCTGGATTTCACTGGGAATGCTGCCTCCTTGTTCCTGTTGGAACACTAAAAAGGTCAAAGGGGTAGAATAAGGGTCAGATGAGTTTGAGAATTTCTAGGTTCAATAAATACTTTTGTACCTGGGGCTGAAATGTAAAAAAATAGAATAATGAGATGGGCTGTGAAGTAAGTCTTGTTAGTTAACTACAACAACAGCAACAATTTGAAACAGCAACATCGTGTTCTCTAGAGGCCCCAGAGGAACTCCTTTAAAATTTACGTTTCTGAAGCAGCCTACCGAGTGCAGGGAAAGTGTTTTCTCAGAAATGTTCTTACTGTTCTTATACTTTTATTGCCTAATCCCAGGCTCCTAAAATTCCTTGTTTCTTTTCATTCTTTTATATTCTCCAGAAAAGAAAAGGAACAGCCTCGGAAGGAAATCCACTCTTTCTTATAGTGTATATAGCGTATATAGGGTCTATTGAACAAGGGAAGGGAAAATAAGTCTTCATTGGCGTAGATGTGTATATGCGTAGGGGTGGTCCTACACATCGAAGGGCAAAGGAAAGAAAGTTTTTCTTTAATTCACCAACATGTGAACTGACTTTCTCAGACGTATTTTCCTACATTTTATCAAGAAAGGCTAAACAGAAAGCGTTTCCATCTAGGGAAGAATCCCAGACACCGCAACCAAAGTTAACCAAGTGGTTTTGAATTCATAAGCTCTTGTTACTCTTCAGGAGAACTGTATGTTTTCTCTAGTCAAGGATTCTTAATGCTATTCCTGCTTAAAATTATAACTTTTCCTTCTTAGATTCAAAACTGCTAGGGCATGAGAGATACACACATCCAACGTTACACTGTCTTTAGACAAGCCATATTATTTGCTCGCTTATGACTCCAGTGATCATTGTGTTAGGTGGCGTAGCCGGATCTGTGTGTGCAAATCTGCTTCACTACAGGGACGCCCGGGGCCACAATGGACGCCGAGACTCGTGCTCCTCCTCCTGCACTAAAAACCAAATGCCCAGCCGGAAGAAGCTTGGTAGAGATGATAGATTTTACTATATATAAATCAAAGCACCAAGCATTTCCCTGACATTTCCTTTGAAAATACCATTTCATGGAAGTAGGAATAACCATCAATACCATCGCAGGACATGTGCAAATCCAAACGGTGATAACAGTGTTACTTTCACTGAAGATAGGACTTTAATTATAAATGAACATTCAGCTTCTTCTTCTAGAATCAACCATCAGATATGTTCAATAAGGACCATTTACCAGGCACAGAAGAGCTCTGACTAGCCTTCCCAGACTCACCCTTATTCTACCCAGTACCTCAAAGCCCGACAGTGAAGCAGCTCGGTGACTTACCCTATTGAAGCAGTGCTCGTGATTCGGTCCGTAGACATGCTGGAGACACTTCACGTTGTTTTTGTTGACGATCTTGTTGAAGAACTCATTGATGTACTTGACAGGGAACGCACAGACGGCGGATCGATTCACCAGCTCAGCCGAATCTGGCTTGCTCTGTGCAAATACGCCATACAGAATGTCATCATTCAGACTGACTCGGATTTGCTTAGCAAGATGGGCCCCGGCCTTACCAACATACGCGGCCTGAAGGATATTAAACACTTCCTGCCCGGCGGACCTCTTTCTTCTCTTTTCTGTGAGAATACACTCCAGAGGCATTTCCATGTAAGAATGCAAGCCAGAGTCTACAGAACAGAACCTGATTATTCTTGTGTGAAAAGTCTGAGCATCCAGAGTTTCCTTTTGGACTGTTAGAAAGTAAATGAAATGGCTGCTTTCGAAGGCCTGGACATACTTAATGGGGTAGGAATCTCGGAACTCAGGCAGGACATCCACGTAGGACTGCTCTGTCAGAAACTTAAAGCCATCTTGGGTCTCTTTGATCCTTCTCACTGATATGGAATGCAGAGAGTAACCGGGAAGGTAGGAAGAACTTAGGGTGTTGCCCACGAAGAAGTTGAGGAACCGCTCCTTTTCAGACAGGAGGACTCTGGCGCCCAGTGCGCTCACCACGCAGTCAGGACACTGGCGGGGCTCCTCCTCGGCCTCTGGGGAGAACATGCAGTGAACAGACGCCTGTATGTCCGCCATATTCCTGGGAGGCAGCACGTGCCGCTCGCAGGCTCCTCTGTTGGCACTGCCACAGCTGATGAGCTGGTCATCGTAGTAGGTGTCAAGGAGCAGAGCCATGTTGACGTTGTCCTTCCAAACGGCTCCTGACAAGTTGGCCTTGCGGCCGCAGTCCTGACAAGGGGGACAGTCTGGGTGCTCCAGCACAGGCCCAGTCTTGTACTCCGCCACCTTCCGCAGGTCTTCGTCATCTAGAACGTAAAGGTGGTTAGTAGCCCCCAGGTAGATGAGATGCCGGTGGAGGACGGCGTGCTGGATGGGGCTTCCCGCGGTGAAGTTGGGAAGCTGATACTGCACGTGCACGTCCGTCGCAGACCTGGCGAGCGCCTCCGAGCACTCCCCGGCGCTCCTCTGTACCGAGGTGAGCAGCAGCAGGAGGACGGCGGGGGCCTTCATGGCGAGCGGCTGACCTGCCGAGACATGTGCGAGGGAGACTCAGTCGCCACCAGACACAAGACAGGATGGAAAGCACTATCCCAGTTAAGCTAGCAGCGAGAACTCCCCACTGGAGTTTTTACATAGAATGCAAACAAAAAACTCTAGCTGGTAGCACATAAAGATGCATTGTGTGGCTGGACATGACTCCACACGCTTTATTTTTAGCAGTCAAGCTACGAACAATTAATTTCAGGGAACCATTATGAGATGCCAACAATGTTCTGTATTAAGGTCAATACGGCAACCGAGTCTCATTGGGCAATGAAATAAGAAACAGCCCAGTTCTGAATTAACTGCTTGCTGGTCGCTTTGTGTGGTTTCATATCTGTGGCTAATGATGAAGCTGATACTTAAACTTTCCTAGTCAAGTAAAGGAACCGTGGTTCAGATTCATTTATTCTAAAATTCACAGCAGGCATTGTTTCCTTGGGAGCATGTAGAATTACTAGGCTAAATTTAGCTTCCTTTTGGAAGAAAACAATCATAAATTCTACAGGCAATCTGATCACATGCTGTTTATAAGATTCTGTGTGCAGAGGAAAGGTATGGTTATACTTTGGCCATAGTTAACCTATTGTTTTAGGCAGACAAATGTTTAATGTAATATCACTGGGACTTAAAAGCAGCAGGCTGAAAAAAAACATAAAATAAAATATAATCTTTAGAACCAAAGTCCTATGACTATTTCTTAGGGGAAAAATGACATATTGTTCGTTACCAAGTCAAAAAACTATTTAGTCAAAAGAACATTATTTCCATTGTAAGCACATGGACAAAATTTTCCAGAAAGCATGCTTGGGTTCGCTGTTCCCTCTCTGAAAACGTAAGGTTCACAAGTTCTAAATATATGTGAGTTCTACTGCTAATAGCTACAGGCAGGATAGTCTGTTGGACAGGAAAGGCCTCAGAATGAAGGACACTGAGCAGGTATTACTGTTTGAAAAAAGCGTCCTTCTGATGGCAGAAAGGGAGTCTCTATAAGTACAGTAGACTTTATGTCTGCTGAAGACAAACACAGGGGTCTACACAGCCACAAAAGGATTCTCTGAGCAACTATTATGTGTGTGGCTCTGTGCTTGTGCTACAGGAAATGGGACAGCGCTCTTGCCCTCCAGGGAACCTAAGAAGTAGCCAGGCAGTAACAGACATATGCTGACAACTGTACTGCATGGTATTAGAACAGACCAAAAGTTCCAAGCATGGGGGAGAGATGGCCTGCATTCGTGAACGTAATCATGAGCAACAGGGCTAAGCGCATTACACTGTGAGGTCAGGAGAGCCAGGACCATTCGGCTTGTCGCTGACTCCCAAGCACTGCCAGGAGTCTGGAGCACAGCTGCTGGTAAACAAATACATATGAACGGGCAAAGAAAGAGTAAGCAGTAAGTTCAAAATCACATAACATGGTGCTGTCGGCAGCCAAAACTTGAAAACATCTTTCTGACCCCAAAATCAAAGCTACTTTTATTTTGCAAAAGTTCTAAGAACTTAGGGCTTAATCCAAGATAATGAAAAGTCACTGAGTGTGTCTGAACTTCAGATACCCAGGTTTTAGTCTAGGAAGACGGGTCTGCAGACAATGAGACTTCCAGCCGGGCAAGCCTGACAGTGGGCAGATCAGCTGTCAGCTTGGTTGTAGCTGAGAATGAAGGAAGAGGGCTGGAAGCAAGACTGTGACCCCCAAAAGAGAGAGAAGAGAGGCATACCTCTTTGATCCCAAACAGGAAGAATACAAAAGACAGCTGTGTCTGGCAGTCAACTGGACAAAAGTGGGACAGGTTACCGACCTAGGGCTGGCTGCCAGCAAGAGGAAGGCAGGCTAAGATTCTGGTTTTGAACAGAATGAGTCAGTAGGGAAGGAGTGAAGGTTCTCCACCAGAGCTGATGAGTAGGTGCCATGCAACATACCAGGAAGCAAGGTCTGGGACAAGTGAAGAATAAAAATTCTGAGCAGAAGGAACATGTGTGCCAAGGAACACGGACGGATAATGAAAAGTCTTCAAGAGGAGCTGCCCTTTGGGAGAATGGCGGGAGTGGTGTTAGGTGAGACAGCTGCTGGGGGACGGGGGCAGATGAGCACCAGGTCTTTGCCACTGCCACACTAGAAGCAGTGGAAATCGAGTGCTAGTGGAGAAATCTGGGCTCTAGCTAGAGCAGAAACGAGCTTTGCACATATCTGTTTGGAAGAGATGTTTAAAGCCATGAGTGAGTACATTCATGGAGGGATTAGATAAAAGAAATGACAGCAAATGGACTCAATATTAGGGGGGAATCTTCTCATATTAGTAAGAAGTGTCAAGGAAGGTTAAAATCACAGAGATACTGAAAAGTAATATTGTACAGTGTTGCAGAAAAAAGAAAAAAATCTCAAGAAAGAGAACGTACATCTTGTGAAAGCTCTCTGTCGGCCTTTAAAAGAGTAGTTTTGGCAGATGGATTCCCCGCCCCCCCCAGGATGCCTTAAGGGTAGGTCTGGTAAGGCATGAGGATCTGGGGATCGAACCACAGCATCCTGAGTCTAGAGTTGAGATGGATTTTGTTTTTGTTTTTGTGAGTAGTTTTGTCAGATGTGGCGGTGCAGTCCTTGGGAATCTGAAGCAGGAGGCCTGCCTCACCTGAGCTGAGGCCAGCCTGAGTTACCTAGTGAGTTCAAGCCCAACCCAGAATAATGATACCCTATCTCAAACAAACAAACAAACAAACAACAATCTTCAAAGAGAAAGTAGTTCTAAATGGATTCAATAAAGGTGTCAGATGTTGACATGCAAGGTAATGTCGGTGGGACAGCAGAATGTTTGTTAATGGAAGAACAACCATATGGCAGATGACAGAGCTAGGGAAGCTAGCTTAAACTAAAGACCTGTCTATTTGTAGGGCCTCTTTCTTTTACTTACATTGCACCAGTGTCTACAAACCTGCAGCACCCTTCACTGGAAAGCTCAGAGTCAGCAGGTGAAGGCAATGGGTTAACGAACAGCTACAGTGATAGATGCAGAACTGTGTTTATAGCTGCACAATTAATAATAGCTACATCTTAAAGGAGCTTATAATGGGAATGGGGAGATAGCTCGGCGGTCTAAGCGCCTGCCTGGCATGCGCAAGGACCCAGATTCAATCTCCAGTACTGCATGCTGCACTGGCCCTGGAATCCCAGGCACACTGAGCACAGGCGTGGTGGCGCACACCAGTAATCCCAGCGCTGGAGAGGCTGAGACAGGAGAATCACTAGGAGTCCAAGCTGCGTAGCAAGGCACTATACCAAATAAATAAAAGGTTTAAAAATAAATTTATTACAAAGTGCATAGAAAAATAATAGATAGGACATTAGAAAGGACACACATTTAAAAAGAAAGCAAGATAACAACAGTGGTTGTTAAACACTGTTATTATTCAACAGTGGTTGAATTATTCAATAGTGGTTGTTAAATTTCCAAGCTGCTGTCTTCAATGTAGCTGCACAGATTACATATATAAGCATATAAAATCAAAATAAAAATTTTACGCATTATCTACTACCTTCAAAAACCAGAAATTAGTACTGCAATCTTCTTAGCTATTCATTTATACTTACATGATTTTTTTCTACTTTTCTTCCCCAATCTTTTCCCCTTTCCCTCATCTCCACTGTTTATTTCTTATGTTCAGTTTCCCTTTTACTACATCTATTGTATTTTTCAGATTTTATTTACTCTTTCAGGTTCTTATACTAGGGAGAAAATGTGATGTTTGCACATGTAGGTCTGATTTATTTCACTTATGAGGATAGCCTCCAGTTGCACTTAACTTTATCTTCCTTTATAGCTGAGTAATACTCCTTTGTATAAAAATGCCACATCTTCTTTATCCATCTCTCAGCTGATGGGCATTTTGGCTGTTTCCAACAGTTAGCTGGGATAAGCCGCATTGCTGTAGACATGGGTGCACATGACTGCTCTTCAGTATCAAAAAGGGATCTCATGTCTAAGAGCACTGTGACTGTTATACGCGTATAATAAATGTAAGGAGTTATACTTACTATTTATATATATAATTCTCATTCTTTTGAAATATACTAGAAAGCATTCGATGTCAGTGAGGAGAAACGATAATCAAAGGGTTAGAGACAAACTGTTCATCAGTCCAGAGCATATTATATAAAAAAGTTAAACATTCCTAAATATGGTCACCACTGTATTTTCAAAATTGGGAACACTAGCCTAACAAATTATTACTGTATTTTCTCCAGAAAATATACTTTAAAAAGAAAAGGAATTATTTTTACTAATAGAAAGAAAAGACATTACACCCACTTTACATTTTAGTGATGGCCATTAATAAGGAATGGAATGTGACTGCTTCCCTTTTGTTCCTTCTAGGCTTTCTGAAGGAGTCTTCAAAATGATCTTCTTGACAGAAACAATTTAAAGTACTAAATGCTAATTTATATTTAAAAAATCAGTTTCATACTTTAAGGTTGATACACAAGCCATTTACTGTGCTAAACCTCAATTAGCTAGAATCTAAGAAAGGGACAAATGAGTGTCAGGCTATCTTGCTAGATGAGACAGCAAACCAAAGAAAGCCAGAAGGGGTGAAGAATTATCTTCTCTATTTCAGGAAGAATCTCTCGGAGCATGCAATACGGTTGGTAACGGAGTCTCCTGTACTTTCTACTCATCCTGATAGCGAACTGTAATGCCATCTTTCAGATTACGAAACCTAAGGTTAATCTGCCCATTAAAGAGAAAACAAAATTAGGCTCTATTATCAGCATCTTAAATTGCTTTTTATTTAAACCTGAAATAATGAAAAGATTCAATCACATAAAAGAATGCATTTGCTTGACTATTCCAATTATTTAAGGCCCTCTACCTTAACAAGGGCGTGTGGGGGTCAGACCAGATCTCCAAGAAATGTCTGTGTCCTTCCTAAGACCTTTTGTAAGTTTTCGCTAGCCTCGTACTCTGGTAACAGAGGTGGCAT